GGCCTGGGAGGGGCGCGACGGGGCCGGAGGGGGGGGGCCCAGGAGGGGCGCTACAGGGCCCAAGGAGGGCGCGACGGGGCCCAGGAGGGGCGCTACGGGGCCCAGGAGGGGCGCGACGGGGCCCAGGAGGGGCGCTACGGAGCCCAGGAGGGGCGCGAAAGAGCCCAGGAGGGGCGCTACGAGGCCTGGGAGCGCGACGGGGCCCAGGAGGGGCGCTAGGGGCCTGGGAGGAGCGCGACGGGGCCTGGGAGGGGCGCGACGGGGCCTGGGAGGGCGTTACAGGGCCCAGGAGGGGCGCTACGAAGCCCAGGAGGGGCGCGACGAGGCCCAGGAGTGGCGCTACGGGGCCCAGGAGGGGCGCGACGGGGCGCTACGGGGCCTGGGAGGAGCGCGACGGGGCCCAGGAGGGGCGCTAGAGGGACTGGGAGGGGCGCGACGGGGCCTGGGAGGGGCGCGACGGGGCCTGGGAGGGCGGTACAGGGCCCAGGAGGGGCGCTACGAAGCCCAGGAGGGGCGCGACGAGGCCCAGGAGGGGCGCTACGGGCCCAGGAGGGGCGCGACGGGGCGCTACGGGACCTGGGAGGAGCGCGACGGGGCCCAGGAGGGGCGCTAGTGGGCCTGGGAGGAGCGCGACGGGGCCTGGGAGGGGCGCGACGGGCCTGGCAGGGCGCTACGAAGCCCAGGAGGGGCGCGACGGGGCCTGGCAGGGCGCTACGAAGCCCAGGAGGGGCGCTACGGGGCCTGGGAGGAGCGCGATGGGGCCCAGGAGGGGCACTAGGGGGCCTGGGAGGAGCGCGACGGGGCCTGGGAGGAGCGCGACGGGGCCCAGGAGGGGCGCTAGGGGCATGAGCGGAAGCGGTAGGTGGGGGGGGGGGGGGGGATCCTACCTACGCGTGATACCATATCAGAATAATTGAATAATGGTAAAGTGAGAGTACACACAAATATATCTAAGTTTTGTATCCTCTAAGAGGTGACTCTATACAGTCTATACAAACATGACAAATACACATGTTTGACACAAGCCTATATAAATTATAACTTATATAATTTTAACACAATCAGCATCCCCCACAGGTAAATCACATCACGCCCTCCCCACCCCCAATCACGGTATTACACGAATCAGAGTCAACCCCCCTTACAGAGCAGAGGCATCAGAGTACATTAGTGAAAAGGGTATGAAAAAACAGCGCAGGTGCATAAATTCTCTTAAAAAACAGAGTAAGTTACAAAAAAAAGTATTCCCAATCAGAGTACACCCTGAATAAAAGTCTGAAAAAGTCCGAATTAGAGTAAAAAGTCTGCAATTTGGGGGTCTGGTTGACCTTTTCCGAAGTTGAGACATATTGAGTATAGCGAAAGTTTCAAACTTTCGCTACACTCCAAGATTTTTTCGCAAGTGCTTGAGGGGCTGCCAAGTGGCGCCCTTCAAACATTTTGGACCAACCAAGGGGAAACTTGGTTTCGTGGCAACGCAGAAAAATCCACCATCGCCGCTCCTTCCTAGCAACTGACCTCCCTTGGTCCAAGTCAAGGGAGGTCATTGGCGTCGTGGGCAGAACCTCCCCCACGATTCCAACATCCCCCGCTTTCTTCTGGAAGCTCTGCGCCTTGCGGGGCGCTTTGACGAGTGCGTGATTCGCGTGGATCTCGTCCGGCGTGGGCTCCTGCGAGGGGATTTCTGCAACGCGTGCTTGAACGCGCGCTATAGTGCCTGCGCGGTGTCATCTCCGCCGCCGCCGCCGGGAGATCCACGTGCGCTGCTTCCCGCCGGTGGCAGAGTAGTTGTTGATGCGGCGGAAACGGCGTGGCGGAAGATGCTGTCGGAGTCCTCAAGGAGCGTCAGCGTGACATGAACGGGCGCGATTTCTGGATGGCCGTTGGATTCCGCGAGCTGCTTCGTGGAGACGAGCACCTCGCTGGTCTTGTGAGTGAAGGATTCGGGATTCATGGCGGTCTAGAACTATAAGACAAAAGGAACAGTCGAAAAGACCAACTAGTTTACAATACGAGGAGTTGAATGATGAGATGTCGTAACTTGGGGAGTAGGATTTAATGTGTAAACGTACTTCCGAGAGCTCTCAATAGAACATGATAGTTATTCTCGTCGATATCTGGAAGAGCCGACGCCATCGCGCGAGCTTTATGCTCCTATCTAGCCACGCGCTGCAGCCCAGATTGCTTCTAGCAGTCGAGCCGCAAGCTGTCCCATTCCACGCGTGCGTCGCGCTCTACCAGGCAAGCATGAAGGGTCTGGAAGCTCATTCAATGTTGTAGAGCGAGGTTAGAAGGAGCTGGAAGGAACGAGAAGGAATCGAGGCTGTTCTAGAGGACATGGCGAGTGGCGAGGAGTCGAGAGGAAGGACGAGGATGGATGATTCGATGGCTGTGCACACATATGAAACTTCAAGGTCCGAGAAGGCTGTGCGAAGGAGCTGGAGTTTTCGTGAACCAATGAGATTGTTCACATCGGAGAAGGGGGGGGGAGATTTTTCAAGTCGAAAGTGTGTTGGGGGAATGTCCCTCGCTTCGGAGGGGGTTGGCTGGGAATTGGCGAGTCGTCGTCAAGAACGTCTTCGTCTTTCCCGCAACATTCCCAACCAAACCGAGTCGCATCGAGCAATTCGGTTCGGAAATTGGGGTTCGGTGTGCACGTCGAAGGAGAGTTGTGATCGTATTGCATCGACTCGCCAATTTTGTTATTAGACTTTCGCTGCAATGGACATCTTTTGTCCCACGAGTTGTAATCACTGGACAGTAAATTAGACACTTATGCTGAATGTATATTTGTTATATATAACTAAGTAAAATTTTTACAATATTGTTATAACTCGATTTGAACAATTTTTTTAAATATACATTCTCGTGATTTCATTCATTATTAAACCCGCAAACCATAACAGATATTATTGGCAATGAAAAACAGCCCTCAACAATACCTCTTCATCCTACATAAAGACAAGCCCTAATCAACTTCCAAAACACCAGCACGTCTTGAATCACATCCCTGATAACGAAGCACATCCAGATGCAACATGGCCTTCTCCACTTGCCCCATCGCCCCCTTCAGAAAATAACCTCCACACCCTCTCCATTCAGGTCGCCTTCAACCACATCATCTACGTCACGGTCCCCCACGAAATCAAGGGCCAGGATGTTCTCTGGGACATCCACCCAATCCATGAGGTACAGCTTGCCGATGAAGTAGGTGTTGCCGTTGTACTTGGTGGCCTGGAACCGGTTGAGCAGGCGCTGGACGACGCGCTCCTGCCTTCCGAGGGCATCAGGATCTCCAGACCTTTCTAGCTGAATGCGTGCCATGTTCGGATTGCGCAACTTGTGATGAATCTGCAGATCAAGAGGGACGGAGGGATGGGCAGAGAGAGGAATGAAGGGATGGGAACGGAGGGAGGAAGGGATGGAGAGAGAGGGGCGGGGGAATGGGCAGAGAGGAATAAAGGGATGGGCAGAGAGGGATGGAAGGATGAGAAGGGAGGAAAGGAGCAACGGGGAGCGAGGGATGGAGGGATGGGAAGGGAGGGATCAAGAGATGGGATGAGAGGGAAGGGGGGGAGGGCAAAAAGGGATGAAGGGATGGGCAGGGAGGGATGAAGGGACGGGCAGGGAGGGATGACAGGACGGGCAGGGAGGGATGAAGGGACGGGCGGGGAGGGATGAAGGGACGGGCAGGGAGGGATGAACGGACGGGCAGGGAGGGATAACAGGACGGGCAGGGAGGGATGAGGGGACGGGCAGGGAGGGATGACAGGACGGGCAGGGAGGGATGAGGGGACGGGCAGGGAGGGATGAAGGGATGGGCAGGGAGGGATGAAGGGACGGGCAGGGAGGGATGAAGGGACGGGCAGGGAGGAATGAAGGGACGGGCAGGGAGGGATGAAGGGACGGGCAGGGAGGGATGACAGGACGGGCAGGGAGGGATGAAGGGACGGGCGGGGAGGGATGAAGGGACGGGCAGGGAGGGATGAAGGGACGGGCAGGGAGGGATGAAGGGACGGGCATAGAGGGATGAGGGGACGGGCAGGGAGGGATGACAGGACGGGCAGGGAGGGATGAAGGGACGGGTGGGGAGGGATGAAGGGACGGGCAGGGAGGGATGAAGGGACGGGCAGGGAGGGATGACAGGACGGGCAGGGAGGGATGTAGGGACGGGCGGGGAGGGATGAAGGGACGGGCAGGGAGGGATGAAGGGACGGGCAGGGAGGGAGGAGGGACGGGCAGGGAGGGATGAAGAGACGGGCAGGGAGGGATGAAGGGACGGGCAGGGAGGGATGAAGGGACGGGCAGGGAGGGATGAAGGGACGGGCAGGGAGGGATGAAGGGACGGGCAGGGAGGGATGAAGGGACGGGCAGGGAGGGATGAAGGGACGGGCAGGGAGGGATGACAGGACGGGCAGGGAGGGATGAAGGGACGGGCGGGGAGGGATGAAGGGACGGGCAGGGAGGGATGAAGGACGGGCAGGGAGGGATGACAGGACGGGCAGGGAGGGATGTAGGGACGGGCGGGGAGGGATGAAGGGACGGGCAGGGAGGGATGAAGGGACGGGCAGGGAGGGATGAAGGGACGGGCAGGGAGGGATGAAGGGACGGGCAGGGAGGGATGAAGGGACGGGCATAGAGGGATGAAGGGACGGGCAGGGAGGGATGACAGGACGGGCAGGGAGGGATGAAGGGACGGGCGGGGAGGGATGAAGGGACGGGCAGGGAGGGATGAAGGGACGGGCAGGGAGGGATGACAGGACGGGCAGGGAGGGATGTAGGGACGGGCGGGGAGGGATGAAGGGACGGGCAGGGAGGGATGAAGGGACGGGCAGGGAGGGATGAAGGGACGGGCAGGGAGGGATGAAGGGACGGGCAGGGAGGGATGACAGGACGGGCAGGGAGGGATGAAGGGACGGGCGGGGAGGGATGAAGGGACGGGCAGGGAGGGATGAAGGGACGGGCAGGGAGGGATGAAGGACGGGCATAGAGGGATGAAGGGACGGGCAGGGAGGGATGACAGGACGGGCAGGGAGGGATGAAGGGACGGGCGGGGAGGGATGAAGGGACGGGCAGGGAGGGATGAAGGGACGGGCAGGGAGGGATGAAGGGACGGGCATAGAGGGATGAGGGGACGGGCAGGGAGGGATGACAGGACGGGCAGGGAGGGATGAAGGGACGGGCGGGAGGGATGAAGGGACGGGCAGGGAGGGATGAAGGGACGGGCAGGGAGGGATGACAGGACGGGCAGGGAGGGATGTAGGGACGGCGGGGAGGGATGAAGGGACGGGCAGGGAGGGATGAAGGGACGGGCAGGGAGGGAGGAGGGGACGGGCAGGGAGGGATGAAGAGACGGGCAGGGAGGGATGAAGGGACGGGCAGGGAGGGATGAAGGGACGGGCAGGGAGGATGAAGGGACGGGCAGGGAGGGATGAAGGGACGGGCAGGGAGGATGAAGGGACGGGCAGGGAGGATGAAGGGACGGGCAGGGAGGGATGACAGGACGGGCAGGGAGGGATGAAGGGACGGGCGGGGAGGGATGAAGGGACGGGCAGGGAGGGATGAAGGGACGGGCAGGGAGGGATGACAGGACGGGCAGGGAGGGATGTAGGGACGGCGGGGAGGGATGAAGGGACGGGCAGGGAGGGATGAAGGACGGGCAGGGAGGGATGAAGGGACGGCAGGGAGGGATGAAAGGGACGGGCAGGGAGGGATGAAGGGACGGGCATAGAGGGATGAAGGGACGGGCAGGGAGGGATGACAGGACGGGCAGGGAGGGATGAAGGGACGGGCGGGGAGGGATGAAGGGACGGGCAGGGAGGGATGAAGGGACGGGCAGGGAGGGATGACAGGACGGGCAGGGAGGGATGTAGGGACGGGCGGGGAGGGATGAAGGGACGGGCAGGGAGGGATGAAGGACGGGCAGGGAGGGATGAAGGGACGGGCAGGGAGGGATGAAGGGACGGGCAGGGAGGGATGACAGGACGGGCAGGGAGGGATGAAGGGACGGGCGGGGAGGGATGAAGGGACGGGCAGGGAGGGATGAAGGGACGGGCAGGGAGGGATGAAGGGACGGGCATAGAGGGATGAGGGACGGGCAGGGAGGGATGACAGGACGGGCAGGGAGGGATGAAGGACGGGCGGGGAGGGATGAAGGGACGGGCAGGGAGGGATGAAGGGACGGGCAGGGAGGGATGACAGGACGGGCAGGGAGGGATGTAGGGACGGGCGGGGAGGATGAAGGACGGGCAGGGAGGATGAAGGGACGGGCAGGGAGGGAGGAGGGGACGGGCAGGGAGGGATGAAGAGACGGGCAGGGAGGGATGAAGGGACGGGCAGGGAGGGATGAAGGGACGGGCAGGAGGATGAAGGGACGGGCAGGGAGGGATGAAGGGACGGGCAGGGAGGATGAAGGACGGGCAGGGAGGGATGAAGGGACGGGCAGGGAGGGATGACAGGACGGGCAGGGAGGGATGAAGGGACGGGCGGGGAGGGATGAAGGGACGGGCAGGGAGGGATGAAGGGACGGGCAGGGAGGGATGACAGGACGGGCAGGGAGGGATGTAGGGACGGGCGGGGAGGGATGAAGGGACGGGCAGGGAGGGATGAAGGGACGGGCAGGGAGGGATGAAGGGACGGGCAGGGAGGGATGAAGGGACGGGCAGGGAGGGATGAAGGGACGGGCATAGAGGGATGAAGGGACGGGCAGGGAGGGATGACAGGACGGGCAGGGAGGGATGAAGGACGGGCGGGAGGGATGAAGGGACGGGCAGGGAGGGATGAAGGGACGGGCAGGGAGGGATGACAGGACGGGCAGGGAGGGATGTAGGGACGGGCGGGGAGGGATGAAGGGACGGGCAGGGAGGGATGAAGGGACGGGCAGGGAGGGATGAAGGGACGGGCAGGGAGGGATGAAGGGACGGGCAGGGAGGGATGACAGGACGGGCAGGGAGGGATGAAGGGACGGGCGGGGAGGGATGAAGGGACGGGCAGGGAGGGATGAAGGGACGGGCAGGGAGGGATGAAGGGACGGGCATAGAGGGATGAAGGGACGGGCAGGGAGGGATGACAGGACGGGCAGGGAGGGATGAAGGGACGGGCGGGGAGGGATGAAGGGACGGCAGGGAGGGATGAAGGGACGGGCAGGGAGGGATGACAGGACGGGCAGGGAGGGATGTAGGGACGGGCGGGGAGGGATGAAGGGACGGGCAGGGAGGGATGAAGGGACGGGCAGGAGGGAGGAGGGGACGGCAGGGAGGGATGAAGAGACGGGCAGGGAGGGATGAAGGGACGGGCAGGGAGGGATGAAGGGACGGGCAGGGAGGGATGAAGGGACGGGCAGGGAGGGATGAAGGGACGGGCAGGGAGGGATGAAGGAACGGGCAGGGAGGGAGGAGGGGATGGGCAGGGAGGGATGAAGGGACGGGCAGGGAGGGATGAAGGGACGGGCAGGGAGGGATGAACGGACGGGCAGGGAGGGATAACAGGACGGGCAGGGAGGGATGAGGGGACAGGCAGGGAGGGATGAAGGGACGGGCAGGGAGGGATGACAGGACGGGCAGGGAGGGATGAAGGGACAGGCGGGGAGGGATGAAGGGACGGGCAGGGAGGGATGAAGGGACGGGCAGGGAGGGGTGAAGGGACGGGCAGGGAGGGAGGAGGGGACGGGCAGGGAGGGATGAAGAGACGGGCAGGGAGGGATGAAGGGACGGGCAGGGAGGGATGAAGGGACGGGCAGGGAGGGATGAAGGGACGGGCAGGGAGGGATGAAGGGACGGGCAGGGAGGGATGAAGGGACGGGCAGGGAGGGAGGAGGGGACGGGCAGGGAGGGGTGAAGGGACGGGCAGGGAGGGATGAAGGGACGGGCAGGGAGGGATGAACGGACGGGCAGGGAGGGATGAGGGGACGGGCAGGGAGGGATGACAGGACGGGCAGGGAGGGATGAGGGGACGGGCAGGGAGGGATGAAGGGACGGGCAGGGAGGGATGAAGGGACGGGCAGGGAGGGATGAAGGGACGGGCAGGGAGGGATGAAGGGACGGGCAGGGAGGGATGACAGGACGGGCAGGGAGGGATGAAGGGATGGGCGGGGAGGGATGAAGGGACGGGCAGGGAGGGATGAAGGGACGGGCAGGGAGGGATGAAGGGAGGGGCAGGGAGGGATGAAGGGACGGGCATAGAGGGATGAAGGGACGGGCAGGGAGGGATGAAGGGACGGGCAGGGAAGGATGAAGGGACGGGCAGGGAGGGATGAAGGGACGGGCAGGGAGGGAGGAGGGGACGGGCAGGGAGGGATGACAGGACGGGCAGGGAGGGATGAAGGGACGGGCAGGGAGGGATGAAGGGACGGGCAGGAAGGGCTGAGGGCTCACCACGGCCATAGTGAGGGTGAGCTGATGTCGGTGCAGCGCTACGACCGGACCGGCCTTCCCTATCCACACTTTCCCCACCGCAAGAAAGGCAGGGCTCGAGAACGGGACGCCCAACCACTCGTGCCATGGGATCCCTGTGTCATCTGCAAAGAACAAGGGAGTTTAGGCTAGCACCAGGTGTGTGATAACGATCAAGAGAGCACGAGAGTAACTACTCACCAATTGCGTTCTCAGCAACCCACTTCACACATGCAAGTGCGAACTCAGTGTCCTTCTTGTAGCACTTCTTCCCATCGCTGTTGATCACAGCTTTGATTAGCTTAAGAGGGGAATTAAGGAGTGCTCCGAGCCTGAGGTTGGAAAGCCTTTTCCCAAACCTGTTGTTGAACATTTTGGCAGTCCGCTCTAAGGCATCAGAGTTCGATAGTTGAAGCTTAAGCTTGAATGCGGTTTCTGAGAGTGGCTGCACGTTTGCCAGCTCTGCACAGTAGTAGAAAACGGGTGACGATAGATCAGGCCAGGTAAGGTTGAAACAACAAATCGTGACTGTGATGAAGAACACCACGTTGAATTAAGGGACGGGCAAAATTTGATAGCAAAATTGCAGCAGCACATACCAACAAAGAGGTTCAGCCAGTGGGCTTCATCTGGAGCATAGTTAATGTACGGGGGCTTGCTGATGGTGAGGCTAACTGCCTGCTTCATGATGTCCTGCACGGGATGAGGGGATGGGAGGGATGAAGGGATGGGAGCGATAAAGGGATGGGAGGGATGAAGGGATGGGAGGGATGAAGGGACGGGATGAGAGGGAGGGGGGAAGGACAAAAAGTTATGAAGGGATGGGCAGATGGGACGAGGGCATGAGGGATGGGAATGGAAGGACGGGTAGAGCGGGATCAAGGGATGGGCGGAGAGGGAACAAGGGACAGGATCAGAGGGAAGGGGGGAAGCGAACACACACACTTGTGAAGGGCGGAATGGATACTTACATTCACGCGCTTGTCCGTGAGAACCTACTTCTCCATTTGGTTGGCCAAGTTCTCTACCGCCCTCAGCGACGTAGTGGTGACCACCGTCTGTCGTTGAAGTTCGTCTCTAGAAGCAAGTGCTTCCTCCTCAAGCTGCGTGTTTCGCAGACGAACATCGTCATTGAGCCTTGACATCTTCCGGCCTTTCTCGCTGTAGAGCAGATCCACCCCGCCGTTTGTCTCAACGCCAGCGGCTCGCTTAAAGAGCCGGGTACCAACGGCGGTATAAGCTGCAAGAACCACCAGAATTGGGTTAGTCATCGGGTTTAGCTGCAAACTAAAGGGCGGAATGAACAGGAGCAAAGTCTACCTGTAGGCATGATGATCGCCTCATCCTCATCCGTTTGCTGGTTCGCCTCCGCTGCCGTGAAGGCCGCGGCAGCTGCTGGAATTGAGGCATCACCAGTTGCACCAAGCGTGGGAGGAGCATGGACAGGCATTGAGGCAGCATGAGGCTGGGCTGGGAGCCTGGCTGGGCTGGCTGGAAGATGTGACGCAGAAGCGGGGGCTTCATGGTTGACCTCACCGTTGATCCCCGAATCTGCATTGGTGAATGACAAGATACAAGTTAGCATGGGGTAAAAGCGTGCGGACCCAAGGCAACGGGACATTCGTACCATTGTTACTCGCAACGTTGCAAGGGGAAGGCGCACGAGGGGCCTGCTGCAGAACAGTGCTGAGGCTCCTCACGCCACTTTTGCCAGTTGCCAGTGCAGGCGGTCCCATATCAGGTAACTGCAGCCCAACAATCTCGCCAGCAAATGACTGGCCACCGCTCTCAGTCTGTGCTTCAGCCAGACCTCCTGAAATTGCGGGAAATAAGGGTTAGTCGCAAAAACTGTGCGAAGGGAATCAACCGGAATGTGCCAAAAGAGGAAGGCAGTAAGTACCTTGATCCTTGTAATGACCGCCGAGGGTCGCATGTTTGCTCTTCGTGCCACGGCTGGGCTGCTGACGTTGTGCCATTGCGAGCACCTCTGGTGGAACTGGGTTTCCCTTAGGGGCCATCGTGAAAGAAAAGAGAGTGTGGCGTGAGAATACTATGAAAGAACTGAAGAGAACTTGTAAAGGTCTTGCGCTGATGACAATGGTTGAGCAACTAAGCTTTTATAGAAAACAAGGGTCACACCTGGTGAGCTGAAACTTGAGAATCGTGACTCCACGAGACGAAGCACCCTAGAACTATCTCTGAGCTTGTTTATATCACATTTCGCTCTGTACAGGATTTCAGGGGGTGGGGCGGATGGTGGGAAAAATGGGTTTTGCGACGGCGGCTCTTTTTACAAGTGGGTTGTGGGCTCAGCGTTCGAAGTTTCAAGTATGAAGTGTGAAGTTCGAAGTTCGAAGTTAGAAGTTCGAAGTTCGAAGTTAGAAGTTCGAAGTTCAAACCTCGAGTTTGAAATTGCAAACACAGCTGCGGAAGGCGTTGTGGGTTTGGCTGGTTGGCAGCCAAACCCTAGCAAGGCAGATGAGTTTTTTGAGGCGAAGGGGGACTGACACGGAAGTGGCAGAAAGGTTGGTCTGTGTTTTTTTTTTTTGTTCTCGGTTGGGCAGTTGAGCACGATGCACCAGTCACACACTGTCGAGTTGGACAGCAATCGAGACTGTAGTTTACAAAACGCGTATGTCAGTGCAGTACGGCCACAATTCGGAAGTGTTCCGCGGGATCCAACTCGTCCAATCTGGGTAGCCCTAGAACTTCTGACTGTTTTCGCATGCCAGAGTTTCGACCAGCTCGTACGTGGTTTTACCCTGTTTTTCCATGACAAACCAGCGTAATTACCCTGACTTCCAGAGGCCTGCTTGGGGTCAGGTTTTCCACGCGCAACTCAAAGCAGCAAAGCGTTTACGCCAAAACCTTACAAGCCTGGTTTGGTTCTCGCTGTTGGGGGGAAGGGGTGCTGATGTGGCGCTTTACAGTCGGCTACAGACAAAACGCACCTGGCCGAATAATTCTTGTAGTCCCGCTGCCACCTCACTTGTCTCCGCGGTTGCGGGCCGTTGGCACAAAACGCACCAGCCGAACAGCACCTCACAGCGCTGAATGGGGCGTTCCTATAGCGCGTCCGAGACGTACGTTTCCCACAAATACCCTACACAACCATACTAAACTGCACTGGAAAGAAGACACACAATATTTTAATTATATGATCATTATTTAACAATATCGTCTATGTTGAAATTGCAAAATGCTTCGTGGGTTGCACAAGTAATCTGCCTCCATAGGTGTGAATAATAAACCCACCAGAACACAAGATATATGTCTTAAGCGCTACGCTGACCAAGCAATTTCATTACGAACTAGGTCTATGTGCTTATCGCCTAAACGTGTTCAAAATAAAGGTGGCGCTAGGTGCTTTGGGGTCTGGAGATGTAGGGACCACATGCAGAGTGCGCAGGATGTGGGAAATGGGAAAAACAGAGTACTCGTCTACCCCTGCGCTCCAAACCAACCTCTCCAAGTCATAATCTTCAGTAGGACCTGTGCTCTCATAGTTCCTGATGAAGCCCATCTGGTCTTGCATAATCTCTTTGACCCGAACCCCATTCTCCGTCAGCATGGTGGTTTTTGTAAGGGTGAACATGAGCAGCAGCTTGCCAAAACGCACGCGATGGACCCGTCCTGCCACTGCCTCCTTTCTAGATACATCAGAGTACCAAGGTTTCCCGTAGAATGAAGGTGTGGCTCTGGCATACTGAGCATGCCTGCTGTAAACGAAGAACGTCCGCGTTTTACAGAAACAGGATTGCAGATACTGGGATTTGCAGTAGCAGTACAGCGCAACGACAGTAAGATACCTGAACCAAAAACCGTGCGACAAGCTCTCACAAGTCCTCACCGAGAAAAATGGCGCGAAGCCATGGACAAAGAGCTAGCAGCACTCAAGAATCGTGGTACATGGGATTTAATCCCGACTTCAGAGGTCAAAGGGAAGAAGGTACTTACCGGAAAATGGGTCTTCCGCGTCAAGACTAATGCAGATGGGTCGTTTGAAAAGTTCAAAGCGCGATGGGTCGTCCGCGGATTCGAGCAGACTTACGGCATCGACTATGAACTAACCTTTGCTCCTGTCGGCCGACATACAAGCGTTCGGATTTTGCTTTGTGTCGCCGCCTGCCGTAATCTCCGACTTCGACAAATCGACGTCTCGAATGCGTTTCTCTACGCGTCTGTCGACGCACTTATCCTGGTAGAGTACCCGCATTCTTATTCTACTAACCCACCGAGCGTTTGCCGTCTACGGAAATCCCTGTACGGCATTAAACAGGCACCGCGGCTCTGGCAGCAGTATCTACACTCGCAGCTAATCATTGCTGGATTTCGACAGTTACCGCATGATCAGAGAATGTATCGACTGACCAACGGCAGCAACTACATTTTACTCGTTGCCTACGTCGACGACATCCTATACGTCAGTACTACCGATTCCCTTGCTGAGACCTTCATACTGAAATTACGGGAAAATCTACAGCTTACCGTCTCCGAAACAGTCTCACAGTTTCTCGGACTGAACATTACCTGGTCACCGACAACTATTCGTCTCACCGCTTCGAGGTACGCAGCAACTCTCGCTGCCCGCTTTAACCTCACGCCTACTACAGTCTCTACACCGTACCGCTCACTAGCGTCTGACCACAAACCGAACACGACACTGTTAACTTCAACTGGTTACAGATCTATCTGCAGCAGCTAGGCTGTCTACTCTTCGCCGCTGTCACTTGTCGTCCTGATCTAGCCTATGCGGCCAGTCAGCTCGCTCAGTTCCTACGCCGTCCTGAGGAGGAGCATCAGCTTGATCTACTTCGTGCGCTTCAGTATTTTATCTCGACACCTGACGTCGGATTAGTCTACAATGTCATCGGCTGTAAAACACTCTATCTACACGGTTTTGTCGACGCCGATCACGCTGCTGATTCTACTAATCGACGGTGACGCACTGGGTTCATCTATCGACTGGAACCTATCGGACATATCTCTTGGAATTCTACGAAGCAGGAACTGATTGCACTCTCCTCTGCTGAAGCTGAGTTTACTGCTGTCTGCACAGCAACACGCGAAGGACTTTACTTACAGGAACTATTGGAAGAAGCGAAGTTGACGACAACTACTCAGTTTACCCTACAGTGCGACAATCAAAGTGCAATTCGCATCGCACATCAGCCTGGTTTTGTTAACAGAACGAAGCATATTTCGCTTCGTTATTTTTTTGTCAAAGATGAAGTCGAGAAGGGGAGGATGCGATTGGTCTACTGTTCGACCAACGAAATGGCTGTCGATTTTCTCACGAAGAAGCTGACACGACAGAAGTTTCAGTACTGTAACAAGCTCTGCGGAATCTTCAAGAAGTGACAATATCGACGTTCCAGAAATGAAAGGGAGTGTTGTGATATAATTGCTACTTAGCATTTCTGTAAGTCGATTAAGTGTAGTTAGTGTCGAATCTTCCTGTAGAACATAAGTCCGTAGGATGACGTCAGCAAATAGCGCTCGTCATAGGACAGTCGTTTCAGTCACGCGAACAGTCGCACCTCTTCATTATCATCTAGGGCGCATAGCGCGATAGTGACGAACAGGTACATTAGCGAATAGGTACTTTTCCTAAAACTATAAATCCTTGTCAGGTCTTTAACTTTGATTAACTTTGATTACTCACAAGTTCACGTACTCAGGTTATTCAACCTTGACCTTTACATTTTTACAAGGCTTCGTGATGCTGCCATGGCGGCCTCGTCGCACTGCTGTGGCGTCGTCGCCACACCGTGGCAGCGTCGTCGTGCTGCCGTGACAGCGTCGACGTGCTGCCGCGGCAGCGACGCCGCGCCGTGGCGGCGTCATCAAGCTGCCGTGGCGTTGTCGACGGGCGGCAGTGGGTTGCGCAATGTTTTAGCGTCGGCCAGCTCGTTTGCAAGCCAGCCAGCGCTGCGCTGCCATGGCGCCTCGCTGCAGCTTTGCCCTCCCTCCTCTACATTTCCCTTTCTCTTCGCCGCAGCTGATGGCTGTCTTGCCCCGTGCGGCCCCGTCGGTGCTGCAGCATTCTCTTTTGGAAAAATATGTGTCTGGGCAATCAGACCCATTCTGCGCACTTTGCCTCATGCGCTTTTTAGGATCATAGAATGTTGAAAAGCTTGTCTGATTTTTTAGAGAATTTAAGAACCACTGTCCGTCGCCGCCGCATCAGCAGCCGTCGTCGTCGCCGCAGCAGTAACAGCTGTCCGTGGGCTTTAAGGGTGCGGGCGTTGAGGGGGGTGCTAGTCCTGGGGTTCCTCTCGTGGCTTATTCCGGCGGTCTTAGGGGTGGCACCGGTGCTGGAGAGAGTTCTCGTTATGGGTGTGCTGGTTCTGGGGGTGCTAGTCTTGGGGTTCCTGTCGTGGCTTGTCCCGGCGGTCTCAGGGGTGGTACCGGTGCTGGAGAGGGTTCTCGTTCTAGGGGTGCTGGAGTGGAGCGTTCCAGAGGTATTCGTGGTGTAGTTGGAGGTTTTGGTGTTGGCATGGAGCATGAGTAGTATCAATCGCTGCCGGTGTCAGCCCTTTGCCTGCTCGGCCTTCCCTCCCCTGATGACCCACTTGCGCCTTCCCCGCCGCCACCTCCCCTGCCTGTCTACGGCCCTGCCTTTTCTCCGCCAGACTCATCTCTGTCGTTTCCCCCCTCGATCTCCTCCCGTGTCTCCTCCTATATCTCCTGAACCGACACCTCCGTCCAACTTCTGGTCTCATTGTCCCTCTCGTGCTCGTCCTGTCTCTCCTGTCCAGCGCTCTCACCCTATGTTGCTCCGTTCCCACGCATCTCGTTCTCCCCTCCTCCCCTCGCCTCCTCTATCGTTGCTTATTGTTGCTCTGCCTCCTCTGTCTGACTACATTCGTGTCGCTAGTCCTCTTGCTCCTTGGGTCCTTGCCTCCCTTGTTACAAACCCGTTTGTCCCTGTCTCAAGTCTTGACGCTCTTGTCGCTGCTGTCACTGACTTCGCCTCTACCCACCGCCTTGACTACGCCATAGCTCTGGTCTCTGATCCTGCCTCTCCTGCGTCCGTCGGGGGTGCTCCTGCCCTTTGCAGTGATGTCGTGGAGGACCGACAGTACGAGCTTGCTTTCCTATCCGAGGTCGCGCCTCATCTCTGCTCCATGCTGCTAGTCGGTGTGGGGGACCCAGACGCCTTTGACATCTCGACCCCTCACACCTACGCTGAGGCGACCTCGAGACCCTGGGCCTCCCAGTGGAGATCTGCCATGGACGTGGAGATGGCATCTTGGAGATCCACTGGCACCTACGTTGACGCAGTTCCCCCACCCGGGGTGAACGTAGTCGATGGCCGGTGGCTCTTCAAGGTGAAGCGCCCTCTTGGAGAGCCGCCTGTGTTCAAGGCGCACTACGTGGCTAGAGGCTTCAGTCAGCGCTAGGGTGTGGACTTCTTCAAGACTTTGTCCCGACCTCGAAGGTGACTACTCCTCAGGCGCTGCTACACGTAGCGGCATAGCGTGACGATGAGCTGCACTCTCTCGACTTCTCGACAGCTTTTCTTCAGGGCACTATGCACGAGCAGGTCTACCTGCGCTGTCCGCCAGGCTTTACCGGCACCTTTGCCCTTGGGGCCCAGTGGCTTCTCTGACGCCCGGTTTACGGCCTGCGGCAGGCATCCGGCGAGTGGCACGACATGCTGCGTGCTACGTTAGCTGACCAGCAGTTCTTCCCGTCGTCTGAAGACCCTTCAATTTTCGTTCGTGCTGGCCATACCTCGTTCTACATCCTAGTCTACGTAGACGACCGGATCTTTGCTAGTGCAGATAGAGACGCACTGGCCTCCGTGAAGGCAAGGTTGCTGAGGAGACATACCTGCACTGACCTAGGAGAGCCGTCACATGATCGAATGTGTCGAGGAAAGGTTGCATTATCGATCAGTACAAGGCGCTTTTATACTTCCAAAGTACATCAGGTATAGACCCAAGGGAATAGACCCTTCTAGAAAATAGAATCACCCTGCGTATAGCCACGCGAGGCTATTGGCTTTAAGGGATTACGGCAGGATTACGCTAGATATAACGCGCCAGTACACCCCGAGCCTGGTCGGTGATGTAATGATAATAACAGGATAAACCAAAGGTTTATGGAAATGGAGGAATAGGAATCCAAATGGAATGAGACAAAGACCAAATGAATCAGGATAAAAAGAGGAATGAAATGGAAAGGGAAGATGGAAAGGAGAAAGGAATGGAACGGGGTCGTACTCTCACACTTCCCGCCCTCAAAGCTGGGTGGTATACGTAACACCCTGCTTGACAAGGTAGTCGTGAAGAGGACGACGAGCGTGATCCATCTCGGATTCAGAGACCCAGCTATCCTCTGAAGGATCATAACTCTTCCAACGGATCAGAAGCTCCACGTTGCCATTCCGTTGACGGCGGTGAGCAAGCACGGACTCGACCTCGTACTCGGGTTCATCAGGGACGAGGACGGGCGGCAGCGGCGGCGGTTGGCATCCAGAGAAGACCGTGTTGGGATCTCGGTAGGGCTTCAAGAGTTGGACATGGAAGGCGTTGTGAATCTTCCAGGTAGCTGGCAGGCATAAGCGGAAGGTAACAGGAGTGACCTGTGCTTCAACGAGAAAAGGCCCACAGAAGCGAGGTCGCAGTTTGGATGGGAGATGGCTGATGTCAAGATTGCGCATGTCGAGCAGTACTCGGTCTCCCACGGTGATGTTGTGGTATGTACGGTGGCGACAGGCCTAGCGCTACTATTGTTGCTGAATGTCGAGAAGGCACTTGTGGGTCCGATCCCAAAGTTTGTGCATGGTCGTGATGAAATCATGAGCGAGTTGGACTGTGGCTGATATGTTTGGCTGTTGAGGTGTGAGTGGGTGGCGTTCGTAACAGAGGAAGAACGGCGTCTGTTCAGTAGCGGCATGAGTAGCATTGTTGTAGGCAAACTCAAGGACGGGCAGATGCAAGTTCCACTTGGAGATTTCGTCCTTGCAGGCTGCGCGGAGGAGTTGCTCCACAATTTGGTTAAGACGCTCGGTCTGTCCCTCTGTCTGCGGATGGTATGCGGATGACATGGCTTCACGTTCTCGGGTGTTTTCCACATACGCACGGCTTCGATTTTCTTAGGGTCAATGTGAACTCCTTGAGTGCTTACGATATGTCCGAGGAATTGGACTTTCTCAAGGGCGAAGTCGCTCTTGGATAGTTTGACGTAGAAGGGTTTTCGTCGAAGAATCTCGAAGAAGCGTTGCAGGTGTTCGACGTGTTGTTGCATGTCCCACAAGTAGACGAGGATGTCGTCCAAGTACACCACCACGCACTCGTCCAAGAGTGGGCGTAGGATGTGATTTATCTCTGCTTGGAACATCGTAGGTGCGTTGGTGAGTCCGAACGGTGTTACCAGATAGTCGTACGATCCGTACCGAGTTCGGAAGGCAGTTTTGTGAACAGAATTGTCCGCCATTCGTATCTGCCAGTATCCGGACCGCAGATCTAGTTTTGAAAATACCGTGGCTCCCCGAAGCTGGTCAAGCCGATCATCGATTCGTGGAATTGGGTACTTGTTCTTGATGGTCTGCTTGTTGAGAGCCCGGTAGTCGATGCACATGCGCAGGCTTCCGTCCGGTTTCGGTGTGAAGAGTACCGGGGCAGTGTATGGAGAAGTGGATGGTCGGATGAGTCCTTTGGCGAGGAGATACTCGATCTGTTTCTTCATGTTTGCTAATTCTGTGGGGCTTAGCTGATATGGTACTCGGAAGGTCGGTTTCGAACGTGGTTCCTCCACGATCTCGTGTTGGCGCGTTCAGGAAGAATCTCTATTCCTTCAATATTTCGTTGATTTCTCTTGGAGGTTCCGAGGTCTTCACCTCGTCCTTTTCCACGTCTGCTGCTAACGCAAGGAACCCGGTGTTGGTTTGTTTCACGTCCTTCTCGAAAGCATCGAGTGTCTCCACTGGGATATCTCCTGTATCATCCTAGTTGGGTAGCTGGACTCTCCTTTCTTTGTTGTAGATGCTTGCGGTGCGGTTTACCCACTTGATCTCTGGGTTGAATTTCTTGAGGAAGTCTCACCCGAAGATCTGGTCAAGCCCTTTTATGTTAGTGATGGGGAGAGCAAGTTTCCAGCGCAGTGGCCCGATTTGTAGGTGTAGCACTGCTTCGCCATACACTGGTAACTTGCTGCCGTCCACCATCATTGCAGAAAACGCCGATGGCTTGCACTCGTCTCGAAGTCGGTCGATGGTTGCCTTGTCGCATACGGTGTGCGATGCTCCGCTGTCCACGAGTGCTTGGAGGAGTCGTCCTTTGCAGATGACCTCGAACACGAGGGGCGGGCGTTGCTTGGAGTACCCAAAAATAGTTTCATTGATTGGGTCATAGGGTATATTCCAGTATTTGTTGCTTCCTACTCCTGAGCTGGCAGCTGGCCAAGGCTGCTTGGAGAAAGGCTCTTCTCTAGGGCACGGAGTTTCCGTAATGACTGTTCGTGTCGTTGACGAAGTTGACGAGTTGGATGCATCCGAAGGAGGAGTGCGGGTTTTTCGCAGTTTCTTGTAGACCCCCAGCTTCTTCTTAGGCTGCTTCAGCTCCACCGATGTCTTCCCTGGGGAACAGGTAGTCGCTGTGGGCTGGTGTCGGGAGAGGACGTTGACTCCGTGGAAAGGTCGGCTTCTTTCCACACTCCTTAATTTGGTCCCCAAGTTCTCTGGTACCGGTACGATCTCCATAATTTTATGCTTCGTTTAGAGTCCCTCCCGAAATTTCTCCAAGGCTCTAGCCCCTCGAGAATTACAAGCTTTCATTAAAGCATCTTTATATGATAACTTTAATGAATCCTTATAATTTCTTGGGTCTTCAAGGAGTTTCCCCGTCTTGGCAGAGTCCTTTTTCGCGAAGTTAGATTTTTCCTCGGTGATTTCCTCTGGCAAAGACTGGTCGTGGGGTGGAGATTTTCCCCATCATTTACTCCTGTTCACGTCGAATCAGCTGCGTCGAAGTTGATTTTTCCGGAAATTCATGGCCGCTTTCGGATCTTTTCTTTTTTGCCAGCTAGATCCGCAATTACTGGCGAGTCCCGTTTTTTGTCTTCTGATGGGCCGAAGGATTTCCGCCACTGTTGCGTGCCCGATACTCAGCGCGTACGGCTTTCATTTTGTTGCAGTCGAAGATTCGATGGCCCGGCACCCCGCAAAAATCACACGTGTAGTTGGTGTTTTTCGGACGTGGCCGCCCGTCGAACCTGTCGATTTCCATCGGGTCGGCGAACGTGGTGTGAGCCGAGCGGTCGCCCTGTTGCGTACTGCTGGCGTGCGCCCGTTGTGCTCCGGCGTTGACCATGTCAAAGCGTTCCGCTGCCGATACGAGGTCACTGTAGCTCGCGTAATTTGTCGCTGCTACCTGTCGTTTGACTTCGGTCTTCAGCTTGGCGAGGTACGACTGTACTTTTTCCCCTTCGGTCAGATCGAGAATGCGGTTATAAAATTCTTCCATCTACTGCGTGTACTGTGCTACACTCCCGAACTATCGATGGCGATGAATTTTTCCCGGGCAAGGAAACCAGAATTTATCGGCTCGAAACGTTTCAGCAGGTCGTTGCGGAACTGCTGCCACGTGGCTTCGCCGTGGATGAAGGTGCTGTTACTGCCAATCCACTCAAGTGTTGGTCGTTGCGGAATTGCTGACGTCGGAATTTCGATCGCTCGGGTCGAACGGCTCAGGTGGGCGCGGCTTCGGAGCCTCGAGAAACTGTTGCAACTGCTGCGTCATCACCGTTGTCGTTTCGTGTTGCGCGCCGGCGAGTCGAGTTACTCGCTCGAACTCTTGTCGCCAAGCTTCGCGGTCTGCTCGCATCTCCTCCTGTAGGGCGGCGATGCTTGCGAAGAGCTGCTGGGTAACTTCGGCATTGTCGAAGTTCGCCATCCTGTTCAAAACACTTGCGGATGGGGTAATTCGAAAAGACGCGGAGCTGGTGCTTACCAGAATTGGCGTCGAATTGGTCGCCTCCGACGGTTTTTCGAGGCAGGATTCCCGCTGCTGCTGCTTAGCTGAGCGCGGCCAAGTGAGAAAAGCTCAAATTACCAAGTGTCACAGGATCGAATGTATCGAGGAAAGGTTGCACTATCGATCCGTACAAGGCGCTTTTATAGTTCCAATGTACATCAGGTAACCAGGTCTATCCTCCCAAGGGAATCGACCCTTCTAGAAAACAGAATCACCCTGCGTATAGCCACGTGAGGCTACTGGCTTTAAGGGATTACGACAGGATTACGCTAGATATAGCACGCCAGTACACCCCAAGCCTGGTCAGTGATATAATGATAATAACAGGATAAACCAAAGTTTTATGGAAAAGGAGGAATAGGAATCCAAATAGAATAAGATAAATACCAAATGAATTAGGATAAAAGGAGGAATGAAATGGAAAGGGAAGATGGAAAGGAGAAAGGAATGGAACGGGGTCGTACTCTCACAAGAGCTGCACCGCTACCTTGGCCTGCAGATCTCCAGGGACAGAGCAGCACGCGCCATCACTCTCACACAGTCACACTTGGTGCGCCAGGTGCTTCAGAGTTTCGGCCTTCCGTTCTCCTCCGCAAAGCCCGCACCTCTGCCAGTAGATCACAGGCTCTCGGCTCCAGTCCCTGAGGAGTAGGTAGAGCCTAGTGGTCCTTACGCAGAGCTAGTGGGTTGCCTCATGTACCTGATGACTTGCACTCGTCCAGATCTCGCATACCCTCTCAGCATCCTGGCTCGCTTTGTGGCCATAGGCAGACACCGACCACAGCACTGGTCGGCCGCTAAGAGGGTTTTGCGTTATCTAGCAAGTACATTAGGCATGGGGCTAGTGCTAGGAGGACGCAGGCCAGTGGTCCTTACAGAGCACACAGACGCTTCGTGGGCGGATGATGCTGAGGCGCTCAGGTCCTCACAGGGCTACTGCTCTAGCCTTGGTGTAGGGGCCATCTCGTGGAGGTCCACCTGCTCGTCGTCTATTGCTCAGTCGAGCTGCGAGGTCAAGATCTACGATGGTGCCATGGCGGCACAGGAGCTTTGCTGGCTGAATTTCTTGCTCACAGACTTAGGTGAGCGGCCTAGCTCTGCCCCGGTCCTGTACGCTGACAACAGGGCCATGATCCTCCTGTGTTAGCAGCCTCGACTGGAGGTCAAAGTGAAGCACATCCAGCTGCGGAACTTTCTCCTGCGTGAGCTCCAGCAGCGCCGCCAGGCCCGCGTATTACACTTGGCCTCAGATGCCAACACAGCTGATATCTTTACGAAGGCACTTGCACCTAAAGATCATCAGCGACACTTTGTACAGCTTGGTCTAGTTCTTGTAGCTTCTCACTTGCTAGGACCCTGACTGTGTACGACTAATATTTTCTTGACTGGCCTTGTGGCTCTTGTTCCAGTGGCTGGACTAGTAGTGCCGCCTTGGATTACACTTGGTTTCATTTGTACTCTTGCTGACTGGTCTTTAGACCCTTGCCTTTGAGGCTGGATTAGTAGTGCCACCCTGAGCTGTGTATCTCTTACTAGTCGCTGCCCCTTGTCTAGCCTAGGGGTTGTATCAACATATAATTTGTGCATGTTATAGGCTAGCTAGGTGCATGCTTATATAGAGTACAATCCCTTAGGTTATATCCCCTTGTACAACCTCATTCTAGTCATTCGTTCTACTTTGAGAAGGCACTCATGTCCTCCGCCTATCCCAGCGACGGGGGGTGTCAAGAGACCTGCTGGGGTTACCCTTGAGAAAATCCTCGGAGAAGGGTTGTTAAATTATATATATTATATATATTACATATATATTATATATGTATATAGTTGTAGGCTTGGTAGGTGTTACTGGATCCTACTGTAGAGGGTACAACACCCTTCTTGTATCCCTCTCTTCTAGTCCAACCCTATTTCCTCTCGTAACTTTCTCCTAGCAGCTAAACCCTCACTCCATTTCCATGGCTTGTCTCCTTTCCTAGCGTTTTAACATGGTTTCAAAGCAGGCCCTTCCGCTCGGGCCTTCTCCTGACGCTTCTGCAGCGTCCTCTCCTCACTTCCGCGCCGCCGTGGCAGCCATGCTGTGCTGCCACGTCGGCTTCATGGTGCTGCCGTGGCGGCGTCGTCGTGCTGCTGTGGCAGCGTCGACGTGCTGCCGCGACAGCGACGCCGTGCCGTAGCGGCATCGTCAAGCTGCCGTGGCATTGTCGACGGGCGGCAGTGGGCCGCGCAATGTTTTAGCGCCAGCCAGCTCGTCCGCACGCCAGCCAGCGCCGCACCGCCATGGCACCTCGCTGCAGCTTCGCCCCCCCTCCTCTGCATTTCCCTTTCTCCCCGCCGTAGCCAATGGCTGTCTCGCCCCGTGCGGCCCCGTCGTTGCTGAGCCGGGCCACCTCGCCGGGTGCCACGGTCTCCGTTGCTGCCGCCGCCGTCGTCGAAGCCACCGCCGATGCCGCAGGTGCTGCAGCGTTCTCTTTTGGAAAAATATGTGTCTGAGCAATCAGACACGTTCTGCGCACTTTGCTTGATGCGCTTTGAGGATCATAGAATTTTGAAAAACTTGTCCGATTTTTTAGAGAATTTAAGAACCACTGCCTGAAAATTCAGAGAAATTCTACTGCATAGTCTGTTATTGTGTGTGACAATGGATGATACTGTTTAGCACTTTGATTCATTTAGTAGTTGCAAGTTGCAAACGAGCATGCAGGCAGATGGCCATTCCCTACATTTACCTACTCATCATCATCAAATTCCACCGCCTATTCCTCTACCTCCTCCTCCTCCTCCTCCTCCTCCTCCTCCTCCTCCTCCTCCTCCTCCTCCTCCTCCTCCTCCTCCTCCTCCTCCTCCTCCTCCTCCTCCTCCTCCTCCTCCTCCTCCTCCTCTTCCACCTCTCCTTCCTCTAGCCCATCCTCCTCAACCACAACCATCCCCTTCCACTTCCTGATCTGAGCCTCGAGCTTAGCAATCTTCCTTCTCTTCTTTGCCTCGGCCTTGCTCTTCTTCTTCCTGGACATTGGGGCAAGAATGGGGGCAATTGCATCCTGGCTAGGCCGCCTTAGCTTGGCGGCCTTCCATATGTCGACGATCTCATCCCACTGCATGTCGTAATCCTGCAGGAGGGAGATGCACACAAGGTCGCCCAAGCGGGCATCACAGAGGTTGCCCCGAGACCAGCTCTTAATAACGTTCTGGCGGGAAAATACCCGCTCGCACTCCACCGTGCTCAACGGGAGCACGGCGGTTGCCTCCCAAATATTAACAAGATTGAGATAGGCATCCTCCCAGTCGCTTGTCCCCAGCATGTGCCGCAGGCTGACGTGGTACGCCATCTCCCCGTGATGCGCGTCCATGATGTTGACGAATGACGTCAGCTCTGCCTTGGCGTGCTTCCAGCTGACGCCTGGGAGGGGGAGGGAGAGATACAACGCAAGGGGAGGGGAGAAGAGTCAGCAAAGCGTGCGTACAATGCAGGGCATCTCACTCAGCTGACAGGCACACAGAGTAAACATTAGAAAGGTAATCCAGAAAAGCACTTGGAAAACTATGCTGGTCAAGAGAACTTACCAGCCAGGGGCTTGTTGTTGAAGAGCTTCTTCAGAAGTGCCAGCCTCTCAAGTGCCTTCTTCTCGCGGTCCGATCGTACAGTGGGATAGGCACTTGAGAGAAAATGCTTGGTTCCTCCGAGTTGCTGCAGGTCGCTGAACCTGGACTCGATGCAGTCGATCATCTCTTGGGCCATGGCATGGCACAGCACAAAGCAGGACTTCTTGTCGCTCTTGAACTCCGGGACAAGCCACGACAGGAACCTCAACCTCAACCCCCGAGCCCACCGGGACAAGCCACGACAGGAACCCCAGTACTAGCACCCGGAATTAGACAGGTACTCCAGTTGCTGGGTGTGCCCTGGTCTTGTTCTTGCCTGGTGTGTACTCCAGTTGACTGGTCTTTAGACCCTTGTCTCAGTGGCTGGACTAGTAGTGCCGCCCTGAGCTGCTTGTTCTGGAACTGCCCCTATGTAGGGTTTAGGGGGTGGGTAAAAAAATAGTATATCTAGTGTTTGTATAGACTGTATAAGGTCACCTCTTAGAGAGTACAACCCTTAGATATGTATGCTTGTACCCAGGTTCTCTACTCATTCATTACTCAATTCTAAGACGCGGGGCCGGTAGGGGTGTGTGGGGCTGGCAGGGGTGCGAGGGGCTGGCTAGGGCGCGAGGGGCGACGAGGGCACGAGGGGCTAGTGAGGCGCGGTAGGCTAGGGCGCGGGGCGGAAGCGGGTGGGTGGACCTACCTACTCATGATACCATGTTAACTAGAATGAATGATGAATGCAAGGGAGAACAAGAGAGATATAGTGTTGGGTTGTACCCTTTAAGGACATACACCTATCTAGCCTATAACTTCTGAAATAAATCGTCTGGTTTGTAGGAGACTAAGTATAGAATCTACAAACACGAGTACTTAACCAAGGATCTTTGCTGGAATAGTAGACTAGTAAGACCGCGGAAGTCTTATAAGAGTGAACCTGAGCACATGAACTTGTGGGTAGTCGAAGGTTGAATAACCTGAGCACATAATTCTGTGGAAAGTCAAGGTTGATAATAGAAAGGCATTGCAAGGATTTATAGCTCTAGGGAAAGTACCTGTTCGGCTAATTGCGCGCTATGCGACCTATTCGTCATACTATAGGGTCGCGACTGTTCGCGTGACTGAAACGACTCGTTACGCCTAATCGCGTAACTGAAGCGGTATGCTGACGTCATCCCGAGACGTGCGATGCTTTGCTGACATCAGCACTCGGGCATGTTTACTTACTAAGAAACCCGATACTGCTAACTACACCAAAAACGGACCTTGCAGGAATGCAAAACTTCATTTATCACAACACTCCCCTTCATTCCTGGAAGTTCGATGTAGTCACGTCGTGGTTGGAGTTCGGCGAATGAAATCTGCAACTTGGAATCTTGTGACGTGTAAACTTCATGTGATGTAAGTAGTCGGCGGTCATTCCATTGGTCAAATGGTAGACCAATCGCGTTCTTCCCTTGTTGATGACGAATTTTGGCTTTGACGAAGTGCGTGTAGATACTCCTTTCCCCCCTCACTTCGGCAGAGTAAAAATAAGTCGGGTTGAAAGTGGTTGGGGTTGCGCCAATGAGCGGGGCAAGGCCGAAGGGGACGAATGCAACACCACGAGAGTGTTGCACGTTGTGGAGAGGAGCCTCGACAACATCCGAAGGCTTGACAAAGTACCGTGAAGTGACGGGAAGAGAAATTTGTTGAGTCAGCAGTGCACGCAGCTGCTCACGTAGCTCGTGAAGGGTACTGTTCAACCCTTCTGCTTCGTTGCATTGTTGAACGCGATGACGAGGGGCTGGGTAGCAGTTGATGCTCAGGCCGTGCTCGTAGTCGTTGGAGGTCGTAGTGTGGTAAGCGGCTTCTCTGGAGTGTAGGAATATTTGCAGCGGGGTACTGAGCTCGCTTGCGGCTATGGCCAGCCAAGCAAGAATCAAGAGAATGAAATATGAAGGTAGGAAATACCGTGAGAGTGCATAACCTTTCTCTTGAAGACTGGTAGTTGAAGAATTGTTAGAAGGCTTGTCGAGAGTAGTTGTAGCGTTGAAGAATGTTTCAGGAGCGAGGTGCAGATTTGCCTCGTGTTCTTGACTAACATCTTCTTTGATATTAACGGCAGGTGTGGCGGCAAGGATGTCGATGGTGCTGCTACTCATATTTTCTTCTTTGATGCCGTTGAAGTCCATTGGTGGAGTGGTTACCAAAGCTACTGCTGCGATTATTGACGGAGCTTGAAGAGGAGCGGCATCTGCGGAAGATTTTGCTGCCTTGAAGCGTAAGACAAATACGCCATTCTTGGTTTCTGCTCTTTCGATGTATGTGTTGTCATATAGTAACTCTTGCTCTTGTGTTGTGCAGTTTTTGACCGTGCAGATTTTCTTCTTCAAGAGTTGAAGAGTTGACACTAAATTGAAGCCGAGGTTGTCGACGATTAAAACATTGGTAAGGCGTAAAGAGTTTCTTGTATCGATTGATGTCAAAAGGATACTGCCGATATTTTCTGCTGCTATTGTTTGACCATTGGCGAGTGTGATTGGGCAGGGTTGAAGAAGTCGACGACGGTTGTAGATGAAAGGATTTGTTGAAGAGACCATATGGTGGCCACAACAACTATCCAAGTACCAAGTATCGGTATCTGTACTTCAATTGACCATGTGAGTGGATGAAGTAGGTAAACAAAAATTTGAAGTTACCGTATTAGTGGCAGAGTTTGAATTATTTGCTGTCGGCTTTGATGAGTTGCTTGGAGGGGCAGAACTGAGTGTCGTTGGTGGTGTTGATATTGCAGATGTTGCTTTTGGAGGCGCATGGTGCTGAAAATACTGCTTCGAAGGCTGACGTAGCGGCTGCGATGATTGCGACCTCTCTGATTCTTCATGAGGTAAATACTTTTTGTTAAAGTAGCATCGGTCGGTAGAATGTCCTCCCTTGTTGCAAATATGACAGAAGAATCGAGGACGTCGAGTTGGTATTGAATAGAAACTGAGTTGTATATCCCCCCTTTTGTTGCGTTGTGACTGCAGGTCAAGATCTTGTTGTTCCGCTTGAAGATATGAAGAAATCTCAGCTTCGGAGAGGTTCGGGTTCATACGCAAGAAGGCACGTGTTTGTCGCCATTCGGGTCCAAGACCAGCAAGAAGGACCGTGAGATACATCTCACGAGGGAAGTATCCTCCGCTCTTTTCCACTTGATCTCGTAGTGTACGGACACGGTTAACGTAGTCCATGACGTTTTCGTTTGTCATCATCTGCACATTTGTCAGCTGCAAAAGTATTTTACTCACTGTTATTGTATCCTTTGCCATGTATACCCCTTTCAGATGATTCCATGCAGTTTCGGCTGATGTAAAACTTGAGTGAAAAGATCGGACGCCGAGCTGCTCCTTCGGCGACAGGTTTCGAACAAGAACTGTATATGCCCCGAGAGAGGCGTGCAAGAAACTCTGCTGCTCCAGTTGTGTTCCCACGACAGGATACGTAAACTCGCGAGTGAAGAACGGCCATAGCCTAGCGGACTGCGCCACAAGCTCAAACTCAAAGCTCCAGGAGTAAAAGTCAACACCATTAACAGGTACGGTTGTCTTGATCTGAGTATTGTTAAGTAAATTTGGAGGCTGAAAAACAATGCCTGGCTGTTGCTGTTGTTGCTATTGATGTTGCTGTTGTTGTTGCTGCTGTTGCTGCTGCTGTTGCTGCTGTTGTTGCTGTTGCTGCTGTTGCTGATATTGCTGTTGTTGTTGCTGAGTAGGGGAACGACCAAAGATATAAAAAGGATGTTGAAACTGCTGCGACTGCGGCTGCTGTACGAAAGGTGAGAAAACGAACGAACCAGTACTTGGAGCTGTAGCTCCTCGCATGTAACTTGAGCCGTCAAGGCTCATTCCACTGAACGCAGATGAAATTGATTGCGTTGATACTGGTGGCTGTACTGATGCTTGTTGCTGTGCTGTTGTCTGTGATTGTTGTTGTTGTGCTGCAGGTGCAGTCGATGGAGCACCTGGAGTATTGACAGAAGGTGGATTCTGCTATTGCATACCGATATTAGCATAGGCTGGTGGGAATGGCCCAGAGGCTGAGAGACCAGCGGCAGTAGTGGAGACATGTACTCCAGTAGTTCCGGAAGTTGATCCGGTAGACGGTGCTGGTGATGAACCAGTCATTGTTGACAGTAGTCTTGATTCCTGATAGCTCTCATATCATGAAATAAATCGTCTGGTTTGTAGGAGACTAAGTATAGAATCTACAAACACGAGTACTTAACCAAGGATCTTTGCTGGAATGGTAGACTAGTAAGACAGCGGAAGTCTTATAAGAGTGAACCTGAGCACATGAACTTGTGGGTAGTCAAAGGTTGAATAACCTGAGCACATAATTCTGTGGAAAGTCAAGGTTGATAATAGAAAGGCATTGCAAGGATTTATAGTTCTAGGGAAAGTGTCAAATATATGTATAACTCATATTTTTATAGACTGTATAGGGTCACCTTATAGAGGGTACAACACTCTTAGGTATATACCCTTGTTCTCTCTCTCTATCAAACACTTGTTCAGTTTTTCTTCTCGACATGGTATCACCCGTAGGTTCGACACCCCCCCCCCCCCCCCACCTACCGCTTCCGCCCGTGCCTCCTAGGCCCCGTCGCGCTTTCACCTAGGCCCCGTCGCGCTGCCCCCACCTAGGCCCCGTCGCGCCCCTATCGCGCCTCCTAGCCCATCACGCCCCTCCTGGGCCCCTATCGCGCCTCCTAGCCCGTCACGTCCCTCCTGGGCCCCTGCCGCGCCACCTAGGCCCCGTCGCGCGTTCACCTAGGCCCCGTCGCGCCGCCCCTACCTAGGCCCCGTCGCGCCCATCCTGGGCCCCTGCCGCGCCTCCTAGGCCCTGTAGCGCCCCTCCTGGGCCCCTATCGCGCCTCGTAGCCCGTCACGCCCCTCCTGGGCCCCTCTCGCGCCTCCTAGCCCGTCACGCCCCTCCTGGGCCCCTGCCGCGCGTCCTAGGCCCTGTCGCGCCCCTCTTGGGCCCCCGTCGCGCCTCCTAACCTGTCGCGCCCCTCCTGGGCCCCTGTCGTGCCCCCTAGCCCGTCGCGCCCCTCCTGGGCCCCTGCCGCGCCTCCTAGCCCGTCGCGCCCCTCCTGGCCCCACCGCGCTACCTGGCCCCGTCGCGCCTGCCTTGCCCTGCCGCGCCTCCTGGCCCCGCCGCCCCTGCCTGGCCCCGCCGCGACTGCCTGGTCCCGCCGCCCTTGCCTGGCCCCGCCGCGCCTGCCTGGCCCCATCGCGTATGCCTGGCCCCGCCGCGCGTGCCTGGCCTCGCCGCGCCTGCCTGGCCCTGCCGCGCCTCCTGGCCCCACCGCGCCTGCCTCGCCCTGCCGCACCTCCTGGCCCCGCCGCCCCTGCCTGGCCCGTCGCGCCTTGCCTGGCCCTTCCGCGCCTGCCTGGCCCTGCCGCGCCTCCTGGCCCCGCCGCCCCTGCCTGGCTCGTCGCGCCTGTCTGGCCTTGCCGCGCCTCCTGGCCCCGCCGCGCCTGCCTGGCCCCGCCGCGCTTGCCTGGCCTCGCCAGCACCTGCCTGGCCCCACCGCACCTGCCTGGCCCCTTCGCCCCGGCTCGTCCTGCCGTGCCGCCTCGGGCTCCGTCTCCTCTGCTCGCCCGTGCTGAGGTGCTTCGCGGCCGCAGTGCTGGAGGGGGCTGTCGCTGTGTTCCTGTGGAGCTGTGCCGCTGACCCTGCACGATGGCGGACTTCGTGCTACGACTGGACGCCGAGGGCCATGCGGTTGACTTCGCCGCCTGGCTCTCCGATCTCCGCCGCCACCTTACAGGTCAGCGCCAGGATGGCCACTCTTTGGTTGTCCATGTCGACGGCTTGCTCCCCCGCCCCCCCGCACCTGCTCCCCTCCCTACTGATCCCTCCTCTGATGACCGTGAGACCTTCT